CCCTGATTCCATCAACAAGCAAAGTTAGCTTTCCATTTCTTCATAATTATTATCTGTGATGGTCAAAAACTTAGGAGATATAGGTAGCAGTGTGAGAAGTCACAAGGATAAAACATTTGCGTTAGGAATCAAGGGTTCATATAACTTTATTCTTAGAAATATGGTTGCCCTCATAGACACAAATGACTTTGCTGTTGATAGTGACATCATTGAGTGCCTTCTCTGTCACATAATATTTTTTCCATGTTAACAATAACGAATCCTTTGCCTGGATTCCAGCACACGCCTCTTGGTGCCTGGAGCACACAGGCTCTCTTTTCTAACTTGACTGATCTTGCCATAGATGGTCACTATGACCTTGGATATCTCAGAGCCATCCTCACACCAACTGAGCTAATTGGCTTAGACACTCTTAGGAATGACGCAGGGGCCCCTGCCTCCAGGATAACAACACTTGATTTCTAAAATGGCCTGTGGGAAATTTACAGGTTATTTACATGCAAATAGGAAAAGAAAATCCATTCCAGAGGCCCACATTCTAACTACAAACGCCAGAAGAGGTTATAAAGATACAAGAGGAAAACCAACTAGTCTGTCAGCATTATCTCAGGATGCCTAGGAAAGCGAGCCCACTGCATAAGCCGGAACGAATGGTTTGTGCAAAACCTTACGGCCCTTGGCATCCGATGTTTCCCTTAAGCTAATTTTGCAGATAGCAAATTTTACCTAACAGTTTCATGCTCAAGCCAAGGATAGAATTTAAAAAGTTATACCTATTTATATAAATTTATAAATACATATATATATAACATTTTAATCTCTTCTCTGTGCTGCACTTAGGGCAGCAGGAAGCCCCCAGACTGGTTTCCAGGCTTCCTCAAAAGCTTTCTGTGACCTCTTAACAACAGGAAGTTACCAGTAAACACTCTAAGTTCAATTTCAGTGTGAAGCTTAGATCTGATGGCTTCACAGCAGCATTCAAAGTCAGTACATCATCCTTTTCATCCCTAGTTATTTTTTAATCTCTACTTTTTTCATTGAGCCTGCATATTTTCGTGGTTTATTACCCCAACAGGAAAGGAAGGAGAGATTTATCTCATTTCACCCGAGTTCTCTGAAAACTACTTGCATTGCTGAATAAGGGGGAAAAGTTGGCCCACAGCACCATCTCCTGGTGCCATTGGGCTGTTCCATTAAGACAGTTAAAGGTGGAACACCTATTTAAGAGCAACTTTCAGGCCATTAAAATACACCAAGCCATCGGTGATGTCAATGAACTATGACTAAAGAAGGAAAGTCTGGGTGTGGTCTTCCCAATGACCCCAGGATATTGACTTGTGCCAAGTATTAAAATCCACCAGTGTGTGTAAACCCAAGTACACTAAAAAAGGCAAGAGCATGCAGGCATTAAAAGGGAACATGCAAAAACCTCTGCAACAATG